TATCGACGACTTCCACATCTCATGTCGGTCGTCGAACATGAGGTATATTGAGCAGCAGCTTCAGACTGCCCTCAATCACTTGTTGACATGGACCACTGCAAACGGTTTTACATTTTCTTTTTTCAAAACTGTTTGCATGCATTTTTGCCACCAACAGGGTCTCCACCCCCAATCGCGAGCTCCGTCTCAGTGTTGTTGTTATTCGTGTGGTCTCTAAAGCAAAGTTCTTGGAGCTTATCTTTGACTATCAGCTTACTTTCATTCCACACATCAAGCAGCTGTGTGTCAAGTGTACAAGGGCTTTGAACATCCTCTTTGTCTTCTCTCCCACTGCTTGGGGAACAGATTGATGTTCTATGCTCAGAATCTATCGTGCCCTGAATCGATCAAAACTGGACTATGGATCTTTGGTCTTTGGTTCTGCCAGGATCTCGGCCTTGAAGATGCTGAACCCCGTTCACCATCTGGGGCTTTGGCTCTGCCTCAGGGCTTTTCACTCTTATCCAGTCCAGAGTTTGTACAATGAGTCTGACAAACCTCCTCTTCACCTCTGTCGTTTGCAACTTTCTCTACAATATGCTACCAAGCTTCGATCCTTATCACAGAATCCCACTTGGGATTGTGTTTTTCTTCCTTGGTGGGCCATGCTCTTTCAGAACAGGTGGTCTGCAATTCCTTCCTTTGGCCTTTGTATCCAGGCACAACTGGCTGAATTGGGTCTGGCATTGGATGACATTGCTGTCCCCAGTAATCCCATCTCTGTCTGTGATCTTTCCTTGAGTCATCAGAGGAAGGCAGATACTCCCGATTGAAAGTACCATCTTCTTTTTGCTGAACATCTTTCGAGCCATTCTTCTCTTCCTATTTATATAGATGGTTCGAAATTGGATGACTCTGTAGGCTCTGCCATGGTATGCTATGGCTCGGTAGTTGCTCGCAGGATCCCCTCTACAGTTTCTGTGTTCACTGCCGAGTTGTATGTTATTTCTCTTGCCTTGGATCATGTAGAAGCTATGCAGTACAGTGATTGTACTATTTACATTGATTCTCTTAGCTCTCTACTGGCCTTGGAATCGCTTAACGCTAGTTCTCACCCTGTTCTCGTCGATATTCAACAACGACTGGCCCATTTTTCTCTATCTTCCGTTTCTATCCAGTTTTTCTGGATACCTAGCCACGTCGGTATTCGCGGGAACGAGCTCGCTGACAATGCAGCTAAGTACGTTTGCTCTGGCGCCATCACGGCCGTGCCTGTTCCATACATGGACTACACTCCTGTATTCAAGGTACGGCTTCGCGCCAGTTGGCAGTCGACTTGGGGTGAGCAACGTCATAATAAGCTTTTCCAGATCAAACCTTCTGTTACTCGTTAGCCATCTTGTTTCCGTAAGGATCGGAAGGAGGAAGTTGTCCTGACAAGGCTACGCATTGGTCACAGTTTTTTAACTTATCGTTTTCTTTTATCTGATATTGACCCACCAATGTGTAGGCTTTGTGACACTCAGGTCACAATAGCCCACATTTTACTGTCGTGCCGTCATTACAACCATGAGCAGCTGTACATTTTAGACACACGTTCTGTAAGGGTTTACCCCTGTCGTTGAACAGTGTCGTTGCCGATAGTGACACTGTCCTATTTGATTGTATATTCAATTTTTTAAGAACAATTGGTCTTTTTAATTTCATTTAATTCTTTTATCTGTTCTTTGAACATATTTTGGTTTCAACTCACTTTATTTTTACATTTTACGACAATTCACTTTACTGTTTTTACCGGTTGTTTGGTGCAGAAAGCCTAGTTGCTTTGCGCCAAAAACACCAAACAACCAGCCATGGTGTATTTATAAACAATGATTTCTAGTCAAAAGTAACATATATCTATATA